ATGGCATCTACTGGCTCACACAAAGAAAGCAATCTTAGTGGAGCATTAGTCATCATCTAATCCCAACAGGATTTCATAATATGATTTGACCAAGAACATCCATTCTTTTTGGGTTTCCAAATCAGCTTGTCCTCATCTCTCAATACCCATAGATTGATTGAATTAATAGAAGACTCTCATATTCTTCACTTCCCAGTCGTTAAGATTCTAGTAACCGCCACCTCCCAATCTCCCCCACTTCTCTCACCAGCCGAAGCCGCCTCCACTGTCATATTTTTATTCTGCGCTAAAGCATAAATTCGAGGAAACCTCTCCTTAAGACAGCCCCCATCAGTCCACACATCTTCCCAAAAAATGATTTTATTGCCCCTGCCCAACTTCCATTTAATACACGAACTCCATTTCTCACCTCCCGCACAAATACTCCTCCAAAGTCCACTTCCATGTTTTCCAACAGCAACATTCCAGCCTGCTCTGCCCTTCCATCTACCCCATCTCACCTCCACTATTCTCTTCCACAGCCTTCCTTCCTCATCAAGATAACGCGACAACCATTTACCATGTAAGGCTTTATTCATTTCCAACAAAGATCTAATGCCCAAACCCCCAACCTGATTCGGTTTTTTAACCTCCTTTCAATTCACATGGTGGTATCGTCTCCTCTCATCATCATCACCCAAAAGAAACGGCATTGTATCCTCTCTAGTTTTCTCGCCACCTTCACTGATAATAGAAGAGTCGTAAGATAGTATATGGGGATATTGAATAAACTACTTTTTCCGAAAATAAGTCGAGCCCCCTTAGATAGAAAATTTCTCTTCCAATTGGCCAATCTTTTATCATACATCTCAATCACCAGATCCCACAAAGCACTATCCTTAACTCTAGCACCCAACGAAACTCTCAAATATTTTAAAGAGATTCACTTTTCTGGTTCCCATCAAACCAGCATAAAATACCAGCTCACACTCCTTCCCCACACTTACCATTTCCGATTTTTCAAGATTAATATATAGGCCCGATACAGCTCGGAAACACAGGAAAATTCCTCGAAGATTCAACACCATTCCTTATCTGGTTGGCAGAAAATAAGTGTATTGTCAGCGAAGAAAAGATGTGACGCCTCCACCTCACATTCCTCCTCCCCACCCAGACACCTCTCAAAAGCTCCCCCTCCCCCCGACCCTCTCTATGATCTTGCTAAGGGCTTCCACTTACTATATTTTCGGTGATTTGGAAAAAGAGAAATGATAGAGCTTTTGAGGGGGGTAAAAGAACAATGTACTAAACTTAGGGATAGATTGCTACATTACTTGGGATCTTTGATGTTAGGGCAGCCTATTTATAACAAAGAGAATTTAGGAAATGTTATAGACATAACCACTAACATGTAAATAATTTTGTACATAAGTGGCGCCGCCTTGGTGCTTAATCTTGGTATACTTTTTATTTCACAAAAAAAAAAAAAAAAAAAAAGAAGTAAGCATCCAAGTTGGAAACTAACAACTCAAGTCAGCAAACTCAAAAAACAAGTCTACAATCTCACTCTTCAAAAAAGCACAATTATGAAGGATGAACACCGTGCTAAATCCATCTAGCCCCAAAAACCTTATCCCTGTTCCAAGAGCGAAGAGCTCCAAAGATCTCATCCTCCGCAAAAAGGGAGTCTCAGTAGATTCTTGATCGTCCAAACTCACCAAAAGAAGGGCCATCAAGCTTTAGTCTCCATCCCTTGGTTTCATGCAGCAAATTCACATGAGAGACTTTGTGTTTGCCGCATCCCATCATTGGAATCAATAGTATTACCCTTCACCACAATTTTTGGAAAAAAAAGTTGCTTCTCATCTTGGCCTTAGACATCACGTGAAAAAATTTTGTATTATGTCCCTTTCCTTGAACCACCTTTTCTTAAAGCACATATCCAAGAATGTTGCCTCCATCTAATCTCTTCCATATTAAGCAATTCAGCAAGCTTGAGTTTGGCATAATTCCTTTTTTCAATCTCAATGCCTTGAAGGCCTCTAACCTCTTATGTTTGTCCAGGTCATCTATAGGTGTTAACAATCCATCTGAGCAAAAAAAAAATACAGAAGCAAACACTCTCTCTGCTCCAAATGTTCACCCTACTTTGGCATGAGCTGCCTTAGAGAAGACCTTAAAGTTGGCAAAACCCACACGTTAACCTCTTCCCATACCTTTTTAACCAAATATGTGAAGCCATCTACCTTAAACCACATATTCCCAAATCTAAAAGGGTTGACCCTCTTAAGGTCAAACAGATAAGAAAATGGTCAAAGATGGTCCGGGGGAGTCTAGACTACAACATCCCAAGGAAATATTCCTCCATGACCAAAGAGGCCAAAAATCTATCAACAACATGAAAAGGAGGGATTATCCTTGCAGTTGGACCAGTTCCTCTTACTACATGGATCAAATCAATCATAATATCCCTCAATTCCTCCAAACAATTTGTTGATGCTCATCCACTAGACCTCTCTATAGGAGAAAGGAGCACATTGAAATCACCGCCAATGATCTAGAAGTTGTCAGAGAACCAATAAGCCTACTTGAGATCATCCACAACATACTCCTCTCGTCTCCTTCACCTTTTCCATACACTCCTATAAACCACCATTTTAAACTAGAATCCTTATCACTCAATTCACAAGAGATGAAAGTCTTAATCTTTTACCCCTTGATCCAATCAAGCCTACCTTAAAACTTGTTCTTCCTATTACTAAAACCAAAGAATAATGGTATAACTGCCCTGCAAGTCAAATTCAATAAAAGTGGTAGTGCACCTTTACTGATAATATATCCCTGGCAGTGTATCAAAAATTGATCAAGTATTATATATACACATACACCTACAAATATGTATGATATTGAATTTACAATTTCTAGTAAGGATATCAAATCAAACAACTTCTCAAGCTTTAAAGCTTGTAATTCCTATTGCTAAAACCAAAGGAAAAAACAGCATAACTGACCTGCAAGTCAAATTCAACATCAAGTGGTAGGGAACCTTTACTGAGTATATATCTCTGGAAGTGTATCAAGAACCGATCAAGTTTTCTCTTGGAGGAACCTCGGTCAAAGTAGTGTCCACATGTCTCAAGAAGAGTGATTACCATCCTAATACGGAAACAATCTTCTTGTGGATCGAGCACCTCTTGCTAATAGCAGGAATAAAATAAAAATGTATTACTATCTATGGGAACAGAAAAAATGAACTAGCAAAACAAATTGCTAAAAAGGAGCAGAAAAGCCAATCGGCTCTCGCCCAATGGTAAAGTCCGGTACATAGAAAAGAGCAGAAGAAACAATAACTGTTCACCAGCAGCGCTTTCAATATATATATATATGTTTCATCAGCATCAAAAACACTAGATGCAACATTATTATAAATAATAAAATATTATTTAATATATTATCTAGTCAAATCTTCTACAAGCAAAAAATTAACTCATGAGACAGTACAGATTTCATATACTTGTGCATAATGGATTTCCCACATACACAAGGCAGCAATGTCTTTAATAATTTCACACATAAACTGGTAGCTCCTAACTTTCGAAGTCCAAAATATGCCTACAAATTCAGAACTCCAACCTCTTTCAGGTGCCTGATAGAAGAAGACTAGGGAAACAAAGTTCCCGGCATAAAATTTCGATCAGAATACTACCGATGTTAATAAGACGAATTATAATTCAGGAGTGCAGAGAAAGAAATGAATACTACAAAATTATTAATGACTATGTGGCAAATATTGAGTTAACTCCATCACCATGCCTTGGGCTGAAAATAGATTTATACATCCATACCTCTGGAGTACCATGGCCGAAGATAAGAATCAAGTAAAGTGTCTCAAAAATAACAGATGAATCCACATGCTCATAGTTGTATAATTCTCCTAAAAATCGCATATGAGCAATGCGTTTTTGCTGCATTCCATAGTCATTCAACTCCAGCCCAAGTCTAATCTCTTCCAAAACCTGGAAGTATAAAACAATAAAAATGGTTCCAAGATAGCTTGATAAGAAGCAGAAAACAAGCTTCATGTATACATTCTTTATATGCAAAAACTTCAAAACAAGCAAAGCCCTAACAAGATAAGGACCTTTTTCACTTTTTTCTCCATATCCAAACAAAATATCTATGGTCTTAATGCTAGAATAGCATTTTCAAATCCATGTTTTCTCAGATGAATCAGTTAGCCCATGCAAATGCCTATCCGTAAATAGAAAAAATTCTGTGATGCCATCTTTACATACAGGGGAAAAGAACAGCTCACCAGTATGACCAAGAAAAACCTATCTAACGTGGCCCTTAAAGCAGCTGACTTAAACAATAATACGTCATCTAATTCCCAACTCCCTACATCTCAGGTAGCTAGGATCCACAAACGAGATAGGCTCTTCTATATTTCAAGGTAGAAGAGCCGTGGGCAATTCCACCTCTCCTTCTCACAAGATTAGATATCAAC